AAAATGTACGCATATCACAAAAACTTTCACATATATCATGCGTAAAACTGTATGAAATACGTCTGAATCTATCGTAATGTTAATCATTGGAAGCATAAAATTCGTATAAAGTAAAATCGTAAAAAATTCAATATATATTTAATGTAAAAAATTGTATATCAAATGAAATATAGTCATCAAAAAATCCGCGATTGTCTCCCAATTATTTATAAGATATATCAAGAGGCGCTATATGAATTCATCGCGGTAGTTTGATCATCTCGTATGCTTCAATTCTTTCTCTAGTGACTTCAATATGCAATGCTCAAACGCTCACTGAGCGTTAATATTTTTATATATGTACGCGAGAGAGTTAATTGTACTCCATACCCTTAAGAAATATAACTTACAAGTACCTATATACTGATATAAATATCCAAGTGTAGTATACAAGTACTGCGCTGAGAATATATAAGTACTACGCTTGATATATGTGTATATATACTGGCAGTTTTCAGAGAAAGTTCAGTCCGCGATTATTTCTTGCGTTATTTGAGCTGTGAAGGGGTGCTGGATCTGTAAGACGGCGGGGCAGGTAAAGCTAATGACGGCGGTAAACTAGCGGTGCTCGTCAGGGTAGAGTCCAATTTACGCGCTTCGTGTTCCAATAACACCGCGTCCAGCGACGGATCCTGCGCCACGGTTTTCAAAGAGTCGCCCAATGCTTGTCGCAATTGTTGCATTTCTCTACCGGCTCGCGAACTCCGTAAAACGTACAGTTGCCTGCGCTTTATCTTTTGATTGAGCTGCTCCCGCAATAATTGTATCTGCGACAAAATATATACGTTTTATTTATATGAATTTACGAATTACGAATATTAAGATGACGACAGATTTTATGGATACACAGTGTACTATATATTACAAAAACAATATGAATGTGCAAAATATATATACCTGATTTTCCAAACGCGATACTTGTTGACGATGGCTCTGTTCTCTTGCCTCCAATAATTTCTCGGCTTGCAGTTGCGCGGCTCTGATCCGTTCTAATTCTCCGCATCTATCACGACTCGTGTCCAATAATGAATGAGAGGAATGGATGTAAGTTGATTTCAGGCGTATAAGCTCGGTCTCCTTCTCCGCTAATTGAATCTCCAGTTTGCGTATCTTCAATCTTAATTCTCTATTTTCATGCTCCAAATTGTCGAGGCTGTAACTAGTGCCCAGGAGTTCTATATGTGCCTTTTCCGGACGCTCGTAACTCTTGCTTCGCATACAACTAGACTTGCACGAAGCGATCTGGCGCTCTAAATTACGTTTGTCAGCTTCTAACAGCTTCACCTAACGAAAAGATATATATTTCGTAAATATGAAAAGTTTAATTTATGTGTACCATTCCTTGGCGCTTGCAACATTTGT